GTCCTGTGTGCAACCAGCCTGCTCTTCTCTCTCAATTCTCCCCACCACCCCGCCTGTTCCTCATTCTGTAGCATGCGTCCTGCCATGCAAACAACTGGCAACGTCTGGGTAAGGGGACAGCTGGTGGGGGTGGGAAGAGTTTTCTGGTGCAGGGGAAGAGGAAACAAAGTGGTGAGTGGAGTCAGGGACTGAACCTGGGCTGCACAGGGACAGGAGAAGCAGAGTGAATGTTCTGCTAGAGTGGGGGTGGAGGGGTGGACAGAGGAACACCTGCTGGTCCTCTGGGTTTCCCAGAGATATCCTTTCACCCAAGAGGCAGAGCAGGGGGTTAATGGTTAACCAACTGTAGGAGCAGGGAACATGTGCACTGCTCAGGCCCAAGCCATTTCCTTCATCTCTTGGCCTTCTCTTCTTCCTCTCCCCTTACACTTTACCGGGTAGGGACCCTACTCCCCAATAAAGAACTTTCTCGCCTCTTTCTGCCCTCAAAGTCCAGATGGAGCCATGTGGAGCTAGATAAAGAGGTTTCATATGCCCAAATGCAGAGGAATGGGGTCTAAGAGAGCCTGAGGGCCAAGTCAAGGAGAAAGAGGTTGTCTCCTTCTTAACAGCCAACCCTCCTGGGTGCTTTGTGACCAGTTGTTTGACCCTGGGAAGAACTGCGTTTCTTTTGGTCTCTGCAGGGCTCACCTTTAGAAATGACCAGAAAAGAAGTGGATGCACACCCACCCCTCATTTACTCTAATCAAGCATGAAATCTTTGTAACTAAGTGAACAAAACCGTTAAGGGAATCAATTCCATTCATCATTGTTTGAACTGAGCATATGTGAAGTGTAGAAATAGAATATTCACATATAATGACTTGATAACAGACTGCTCCTGGGTGGGTTGAAGTGAAGGAGGGTGCAGGGGTTGGGGGGCATGCACTTGAGCTGTAAAACTCCAGCTCCTCTAACCCTGTTTCTACTAGCTTCGCTATGGACTGTCCTGAATTATTTCCAGTTAACAGACTGTAACACAATGCTCCAGTCTCTTTATGATCAGAATGGGGGTGGGTGCTCTTTGCTTCTCCATTTGCCAAGATGGACAGAAGTATATTGTGCCCCAGTTTGTGTGTTCGGAAACAGCTGTGTGGCCATGCAGGGAGACAGCTGGGAGTGGGGGTGGAGGGTGGGATTCCTGCTGGAGACAGGAATTGCCTTCTCCCACACCAAACCCTATATCTTGGGGAGGCAATCAAAGAAACTGAGGTAGGATTGAAACTATAAAATCTCCAAACAGTGACAACTTCAGCACCATAAATATTTCATAGTACCTAAACTGGCGAGTTTAGGCTGCTGCCAGCTGCTGCCTTGTATATTTAACCATGTCACTGGTTTCTCCTTCCGTTCCTGTGTTTTCTTGTGACATGCCCATGAAATAAAGATTAGCTGAATAATCAGAAGTATTCCTAAATGGGAAAGGGACCTAGCAGCGAAGTAGCTGTTTTTGGAGGTTTTCTTTTTAACCTCTTTTAAGAGCAGACTCCAGTTAAAACAGATGGTGAACTTTTACATTTACCACATCTGCAGCTTTTGATGGTCAAGAGAATTGGAGGGCGAGTGTTTCTTGATGCTCTGGAGACATGGGGTAGGTATTCAGGCCAGCTCTGCAAGGGAGGGTTACCAACCTTGTAATGACATAGTTTTGGGTGACAGACACGTGATGCCACCATACTCTTCATTTAGACTTGAGCTGAAGAGCTAGCCAGTCCTCCCCCCCCATCCTGCCCCAGGCAGTGAGGGACTCCGTCCTTATGTCCTGTCAAAGGAAAGGGCCAGCTGGGATTCCCTTGCCAGACTTGTGGTCCCCGGGCAGAGGAGACCTTCCAGTACTTTCCCAGTTTGGATCTTGCTGCTCCTCAGCGCATTTCCCCGGCACATCACTCCAAATGTCATTTCCATTTAACTGCTTTGCAAGCCAATTTGCCCCCCTCCTAATGCAATTTGCTAGGACAGTGAGGGAGCAGAGAGGGCAGTCTGCATTGCCCTCCCTTTATCAGTGGGTCCCTGAAGAGGATCGGCTGCAGAGTGGAGGGAAATGGCTCCTTTAGGGAATGCTGGCTGGTGGCAGCAGGGGCAAGTTCCTAGAGGAGGAGGGGTTGGAGGTTAGAGGTGGTGATGCCAGGTGGAAGACGGGGTAAGCAAAACAACCTCGCTAAGGTATCTTGTCAGATTCTGCTCTGTTTCCTTGGTTCCCTACCCGCTCTCCTCACCCTCTCCCCAGCCCCAGGCCACCAGGAGAGATCTCAGGTAATTAGTTCAAATGGTGCTCTGTGAAAAGAGAGAAAAGTTAATGTATTCTTCTCTCTTCTTGCCTGGAGGTCAGAGGGAGAGGGCTGCCAGCAATTCTGGGAGCTTTCTGGGGTGACTGCACAAAAGTTGTGTGTTTCAATTAAAAATAGCTGAATACCTCCAGCCAGGGCTATCTCTTCCTGGGGACTCTGTCGTTCAATAGAAGGTCCCAGAATCCAAAGCCAGCCCAGAGGGAAGAGTGAAGTTTCAAGGTCTGGGAAAGAAGCCCAGCAAGAAGGGAGTCTGCTGTTGTGTGGGGAGGGGAGAGCTGAACCTGACTCTCTCGGTCTGAAAGCATCCAACGCAGATATTCATCTTGGCCTGATGCTCTAGACCTTGTCCATGCACCTGAATAGAACACGTTATGTGTGCCTCTAAATTTCTGTGGGTTCCTCCAAACTGATGGGCCCCTAAGGCACCGCCTCAGGCTATGATTGACAGTCCCACTCCCCCAAACTGATTCTGCCTTTATGTCCCTTGCATACCTTCCACTCGTGTGCCACTACTACCCTGGGATCTTAGATTCCTGTAGGAAACCTGATCATAGTTTCATTGCTCACCATGTAGGACTCTCCTTTCTAGACTCCTGACTGACCTAGAACCCCAAGTCTTTTATCCAACTCTCTCGTCCCCACTCTCTTTATCCCTTTTGAGCTGAGTTGAGTTTAGGCACGTAGCTGTTCCTAGAGCAAAGGTCATGCCAAACAGGTGGACCTAGAATTTTTCGGGGATCTAGAATGGCAGTTTCCAGCGATTCTCTTAGGCCGTCTAGACCATGATTAACATTTCGCAAAGACTACCTACAGGATGGATTTAAAAAAGGTTAGAATTTTCTAGATCCCTACCTCACTTGTGGGGTGGGAAAAGAAGGAGCACATGGGGGAAATATTCTCCAGTGGTTCACATGGAGCCCGCCTCGGACCCTGAACAAACTCCGGTTTCAATCACCAACACTCCTGGGCTACTCACTCCAGGGGCCTGAGTCCCAGCTGGGCGCTCCACCACGGAGGGAGGCTGGATGGGGCACTTATGCCCATTCGATGCCTTGGCTTCGCTCCCTGAGCCTTATGAAACCCGCGCAAATGATGCGTGTCCCTTCCCCTGATCCCAAGGGAACAGCCAGCGGCCACCAGGGACTCTGGCACCGGAGTGAACGCCCCCAAACCGATCGCTGGCCACAGGAGCTCGGGGCTGCGTTGTTCGTGCACCGAGGCCCCCTTGGAGCCCTAGCTCTCGGGACAGCCTGGCAGCCCCGGTGCTCCCCAAGCCGCAGCGTTGCCGGCAGGTGCGCGGGAGAGTCGCGCGGTGGAGCGCGGCCGCCGCCCGCCGCCGGGAGCCCGCAGCCCGCGGCCAGGAAGCCAGGGGCCAGCCGAGGAGCCTGTGGCGGGAGGCATTCGCGCGCACGCCGCGCTCCGGCCCGCGAAAGTGGCCGAGCCCGGGCGCTCGGGGCCGGGATCCCAAAGCTGCGGCCGCGGGAGGAGCCGC